CTTACAGAGTACCTACAGGACCAAACTCTAATTTTTTAAGGTTATTGCCTTGGTAACATTAGGCATCTGAAAATGTTTCCATCTTCCCTATTATTTCACAAGTCTGTAAGGCAGCTCCTTTTGCTCACAGGCTGTAACTCTTTCTCCCTCCCTCTCCCACCTAAATTTCTTCCTAAGCTTCCCCCTCCCATCTCAAGAGCTTCAGTGTGAGAACACAACTCACAGAAGGCTCCTGTCGCTGCAGATTCCCTCACGATTCCCCACACAAGATAAAGCGTTACTGTTGCCACTGTCGGCTGCCAGCCCTCCAGTTCCTGCCCCGGTTCGGAGCGCTGCAGGAAGGTCTGCATCCCAGCCAGAGGGAACTGCAGCACAGGGCAGACAGACAACTCTGCACTATGCAGATGAGACAAATTGAACTCCACACTCCCACTGACACATGAACAAGTCTCGCATCTTGCTTCTCTGCATCCACAGCATAGACACATCCTAGGTGCATCAGGAGCTCTCTTATTGTATTCTGAAATGCTGAAGTTGAAGGTCTCACTCCAACACACAAATAGAACTCATTCTGTGACAAGGAGAACTGTTAGAAAGTACTCAGGGGTTGAACACTCTCTTCCTGGAGCTATGCAAGAACAACTTTTGTGCCATCATCTGAAGCTTGATTTACTTCAATCCATATGTACACATTTTATTCAAAAAACAGAAGAGAGAACACACCAGATAAAAAAGGCTTAAAATCCACTTTAATAATGCATTCCTGGAACATTCCTCGGACAAACTTAAACTTGTTAGTGGGACAATTACAGCTTGTGTTCAAACAGTTTACACTAAATGAAAAATCTTGTAGTACTTCTACACAAAAGACAGGCAAGGTTAAGATTATACAAACATTTGTTTCAGTTAAATCTTCAGCATGAGATACAGTATCTTTGTCCAATAGATTGTACTTTACTACCAGTAAAAATAAACAGTGATACAACACGTTATCAAAAAAATCCATCCAAACAAGAGCCTCCCAGCCATTCAGGCTGCACATGACGGTCAACTACTTTAAAGAAACAGACGGTCCAGATAAAAAGAATAGCTACAAGTTAGGAGGAAAGAAAAAAAAAAAAAAAAGAAAGAAATGAACATAGAATCTCCCCAATTCACTACATGACAGATCATTTGGAGCTATATAAATTTACAGAACCACGGGAGCTGCAAAGTACCCAGATGCTGCCCTAGTTCTCCAGAGACTTCCCTGTGCTCTTAAGCAAGGTACACTACACTAAAAAAATGCCAAGACATACTGCAATTTTATCTAGTTTAGTCTCAGGACTCCGGCTGCAAATAGGAAACCTGGAATGGTGAAGGCATTAGGGTCCTTGCCAGATTTTACTGTTACTGAACAACCACGGCAGCCTCCCAGAATCCATGTTTCACATTGAAATTATAGGAATGCACCACATGAAATTTTCTAAAACCTTTACCAGCCAGACTGCACTCCCCTTGTCCTAGAGTGGCTTTACCAAACCAGGCTCTAATTAACTATTTTTAATATC